ATGTACACTGAACAGGATCTGAAACTATTATTGGAATTTACTTAACACTAACACTGCAAGTAAACTATCAAACAAGAATACAAATTAAAATTTTTAATCACCCTTGCCAGTAAAGACAAGAATTTTCAATATTGATACTTTCTCATCTGAGCCTCCTCATTTTCAACATATTGGATGTAGCTAACTAAGTAGGTCCATCCCTTTAATTTTCTGAAAATATAAACATACAAGCAGCAGATTAAGAATCCTAATTTCATTTATATGTAAACTGTACCATGCTGCTTCTTCAACTTTATTTTTGGAAATAATCTATTTTAGTTATAATAAAATGTCAGCATGTGTACAAAAAATTGTATAAGTATACACAGCTTAGTTTTTAAAAGTGGGAGATGAACAGGCAGAGAATTTCTGAAGTCACATTTTGAGTTTTTGACAAGTATTCCTTCTGCAATCATTTAAAAAATTTATTAAGTTATTTAACAATTCCACAAAGGAAAGCAAAGGTGGACAATTTACCACTGCCACTTAAAAATAATAAAAATAACCCTCTTTCCTAAGTATTTTTCCGTGATCTTTACCTCCTCAGCCTACCATCCAGTGTAACAAGAAACAGAATTATCAAATCCTCATTTTTACAAGCAGCTTCCTTGAAAAGTTACAAACAGATGTAGTAGGATTTGTTTACATAAATATATACTTATTATATATATATGCATATATATAACTTAAATACAGATTGATGAAGAGACAATGCTTTCTAAACATGTTTAAGGATTTTGATTATGAAACTCTCCCTGGGGAGAAAAATCTTATAGGTACTAACAGTACTTCTACAACTTGCCAGAATCCAATCTTTGGAACATGCTTTCTGCTCCTGATTAACCCACAGAGAAAATAAGGCCCTTAAGTGAAGAGAAATGCAATACTGAAAGGGAAGACTAAAGCTGATTCCTTTACCCTGATTGCATACTTCACATAGTTTTTTTTACCTCCATTAGATAAGCAGGTATCAGGTAAAGACTTTCAATTTTACACTGCTATTAACTTCTTTACTCATAAAATAAAATTATCCAAAATCACGGGCAAAAGCCTGTAATAAAAATACTCCACTAAAAAGAAGTTTGCAATAGATGGATAGGTGTTTTCGCCTTTCTGTCCTTTAGAATTGAAGCAGTAATTTAACAAGATGAAAAAGCTTACAAGTATTAACTGAGACCTTTTTGGTACAGAATTATCAAGTTCATGTTGGTGATGGCATAGGAAAAAATAGAAAAAGTACAAAGGAATAAACACACACACACACACACAAAATTAAGCTCAGCTAAAAAAATGTTTCCTTTTTGGAATTTTGGTATATGTGTTTGCTAAACAGCAGCAAAATTTCAGAAAAAAACAAATGTTGCTCCTAAAAGTTATTGAGAGTCTTAAACAAATACCATCTTACATTCATGGAAGTTTTAAACTATTTTCACATTGTTATAATCTTTTATCTTCACAATCCTATGAAGTAGACAGATCATGTTATTACCATCCCTATATTAAAAAAAACTAAACAGAGCTCAGTCAAACTGTTTAAAATGGGCCTTAACTTCTACTTCGTAAAGATATAATCGGAGTTGGAACAGACTTGAGTGTTCCTTTCACAGTTAATCTTCCCCCATTTCACAGATGAAAAACAATGAAGCTCAGGGAAGTCAAGACACCCACCCAATATTACAAAACTCTCAGTGACATACTGAAGCCTGGGAGGCAGGTCTCCTAACTTCTGGCTGGATACTCTCCTCTCACCACACTGCCCTGCCATGTCACAATGAGTGATATAAAAGCAAGCTGAAAACGTTAAAAGTCACTATAGAAGTGGGTAGTAGTAGTAGCTCCAGAAAAGGGAAGACATTTTCAATTTTTAAAAAATTAAGACATTATGAAATAAATAAATTTAAATGTAAAACTACCTACCACCTTCACCTTTTCCCCCTAAAATCCTCCTTCACATCTTCTTAAATCCCTGATTTGATCACAAATTCTTAAAATTTTCATAATCTGTACATATTTGTTCGTTGTTTAATCACTCAGTGCTGTCCGACTCTTTTGCGACCCCATGGACAAGGCTCCTTTGTTGGTGAGATTTCCCAGCCAAGAATACTGGAGTGGGTTGCCATTTCCTTCTCCAGCCTGCACATATTAAGATATCAAAAATTACTCAACTGATAAAATTCTACTTCAAATAGCAAAATATTTTTCAGGAGCCATGTTATATTCCTCTAGTATTAAAGCCTATTATTCTTGGTTATAGTAACTTAAAGTTATTTTATTGATACTTAGGTCACTGAAGTATTTTTCACTGTATATGCTCAATAAAATATTGCCATTGCAGACTTTTAGTTGAAACAGTAATCAGATCTGATAGACAATCTAATGCAAACATGAATTAATGAAAATGTGGTAACTGACTGGCAGACATGTATCATGGGATAGAAGGGTTTTTTTTTTTTTTTGAGAACTGTAAGAGATTGAGATTGAAAAGATTACATGGGCTTATACTGTCATAAAAATGTAGACAACACGAATCTTATGAACACATGGTAAACAGATCTTAATCACTTTTTTAGGCAAGATTTTTGAAATGTTTCAATCCCAGCCATCCAGGAAGATATGCCAGGCTTTATACACAACTCTATACAGGCTGAAAGACTCAAAATCCATCTGATGTATCTGTATAAAAATAACACAAGGAGGGCAGATCAAAACCTATTAGTATTAAAACTAGAGCAAGATTACACACACACACGCTCATATATATGTTGCATATACATACATACATACATACATGATATGCATAATGTATTCATCCTTTTCAACAAGTCCTAACTGAAAGCTTCATGGACCAGGGAAGACCCCAAGTACTAGTAATTAAAAAATGATAACAGTCCCCACTGAGCGGGAACTCACAGTCACTCAGACAAGGCAGAAGTATTTCTCAAGAAATTATAAATGTGTTAAGTGCTGAAATATAACATTTCAATAATTCAAAATATTAGACACTTGGATATAATGATCAACTCACTTTAAATTGTACTAGTTCAGTAATGCAAGAGCCTAAAGTTTCTCAAAACAGGAAGTGAAAAAACATGCCTTTGAGAAAAGTGAACTGAAGCATTTGAACACTTAGAATTTAATCTCATCTGAGATCATTTATGAAGATGAAATTTGTAAAATCTCACTATTTTCATGCCATAAAAATGTGTAACGAGTGCTTTAAAAAGAGGAATTTTGCCTAAATACCCGAATCACTTTTGATGTTACTCTCACTTCCTCTCTTGGAAACCATCATAACCATTTCCTTTAACCACAATACCACATGTCTAGTAACTTCTAGCGATGTTTGTCTTGCTTGTTTTTTTGCACAAAGCTCATATAGGAACGAATTTCCAAGTTAAGCAGCATAATCTCACAAAAAAGTTCAGGTCAATGAACCTGTAAGTAATACTATCTAAAATTATTACAAACTTGTAACCAAGTCTCTTCTCGGTAAATGCAGAGGGCTTCATTGGAATGACCTTGAGCTCCTGTCACACAAAATTGAAGTGTGAAGAGGCATTTTACTCTCCAGAGTGCACTAGGTTTAAAGTCAACCAATCCTTCTATTCAGGGAAGCCAATGGAACACAGCCATAGCTACACATAATTTATCATTATTAAACCAGGACAGTCTTCTCCTCTAGAATTTCAGTGTCTACATCAAATTGCTGAAATAGGTCAGTTTTATATTGAACTCCATCATACGTTTTTTAAGTATTCTTTTCTTCAGGAGACCTAATTTACAAGGGCTACAACACTACTGCTACGATTAAACTAAAAGGAAATATTCAGAATGCATTAAAAAGCCAACAAAAAAATTATGAAGATATAACATCAAATACACACTGGAAACTGTCAGGATCCAGCTTGCATCAAAAAATCTTAAGTTTTCTCTATCAAATTACTAAAAACTTACTAACTTTGCCTTAAAAGGAATAGAATTTTGGTCTTTCTTTTCTAAAATAAATTAATGTAATATTTGCTCTATCCTTCCATCTATTTTTCATTGCAACTCAGCCTTTCATTCCTTAATGTTGCGAAAGCCATGTACTTTCAATGGGTCTATTAGCTAGAGCTACTCAAATTATCAGACTACACCATGAAATCAGCGTAAGAGCAACACAATCACAGTTTTTATTTTGTATAGACACCGAACGTAAAGAAATTTAAGCAACGATGTTTCGGTATTAGCGACATGGTTGGAAAAACTAAGATGAGGAGGAGTAAAGACAGACAAGAAGGTTGTTATTCCTGTCCCAGTGACTCACAACCCAGAAGTATTTCAGGAGAAAACTGGTTCCACCCTCACTCCCACCTCCTTTCCACCTTCAAAATGAAATAACTCCAAATCGTCAACACACTCTTCAATGGCTTTTATTTGGCGATCCAGAATAAAATGGCCAAGTGGAGGACAGTTAGGGATCATCCAGATGAGCCATTCCCTGCTCACGCTCCCACTTACATACCAAAAGAACTGAGGGGGTGGGGGGGAACTGCTTCCATCTCCGCCAGATTTCTACCATTCGATCTCAGTTACGGAACACCCAAGTTTTCCTAGCCCCCATCTAGTATCTCATCCATCCTCCTCCCTTTCGCGCAGACCCAGTCCCGGGGGCCAGGGCGCCGAGGAGGGGGCGGCGGCGGCGCCCCTCACCCCGTGCCGGGCCGGTCAGTTCCCATTGCTGGGAGGAGGCAAATGGCTCCTCTCCGCCCCTGGCCGGCCCGCGAGCCGGCGGGAGAGACGCCAGGGCTCCGCATTAGGCCGCGGCGCATCCCGGCGACCCTGGGCAGGCCTGCCGCCGCGAGGCCGCGCTTTCCGCCCCGGGCGCCGCCCGCCGCCCCCAGGGCCCAGGCCTCCCCGGCCCTCCCTCCCGCCTCCGCCAGCCCGCCGCCCCCGCCGAGGCCTCGCCGGCCCGTGCGCACCTTCTTGATGTTGTAGAGGCGCGTGAGCATGCCGACGCCCCGGTCGTTGAGGATGGTGAGCTTCTCCGCCAGCTTCTGCTGGCTAGGCTGCAGCACGGAGCGCGACATGGTGGTGGCGGCAGTGGTGGGGCCGGCGCTGCCGGCCTCGCGCCCAGTCACCGGCCCGCGGCCTCCGCAGCTACCTCGGTCGGGCCTCCTCCCCTCCCGCCCGTGACCTCCGCCTCAGGGGAGCGCGCCCATGGCCCTCGCGCCCCAATCCCGTGCGGGTGGACAGAGCGAGCCGCGGCGGACGCCTCGTCGTCCCTTTCCCCGCAGCAGCCCGCGCCCCGACAGCCTCCTGCCTTCGGTCCGCCGCCCTTCCGTCCCCACCCCGGGCGCTCTTCGCCCCAGCCCCCACCGCCGAGCCGCCTTCCCCGGCTCCTCCACTAGGTGTGGCGGAGGCGGCGGCGTCTCTGGCGGCTGAGAACGAGGCCGCTTCCCCGCAGCCCCGGACGAGCGCTCGGTCACCTGATCTGCCGCGCAGGCGCCCTCGCCAGGCCGGACAGGGAACTGCGCCTGGGGGGCGGGGGGCTCGGCCCGCCTCGCCCGGCCTCGCGGCAGCCGCCGCTCGGGACGCGGCTCCGGCTCCACACCCGACCCGACCCGACCCGGCCTGGCCCGCCCACTGTCCGGGGAGCCTCAGCCCGACCTGCTGAGGTTACGCTTTTCTGTCCGCCACACAGCCCCCCCTTTCAAGTTTCCAAAAGTTGCCTTTCCACCGCCGCCCAGCAGAAGCCGCGGGCAGGGGGCGAGGCAGGGCGGGCTTTTTTCTGGCGAGTTTCGCCTGAGAGTGGGCTGGTGGCTCCATGCGCTTTTCCCTCCCACTGCTTGACAGACGCTCCGGCTGAACACAGCAGATGTGCTCTGCGAGGCGGCCTTCGCCTCTGCCTTCCTCCCCTTTCCAGCCTATCTCCCCCGCTTCAAGGCAGTTCAGGAGAGGGTCGGAAGCGAGGGCGACTCGAGTTCCTCAGATAATCAGAATCGGACATTTGTCAACGGGATTACCCTTCCGGAGAAGACGTCAACAGAAGAGACCCTGGCCTGTGGGAGGCAGAAATAAATGTTTCTTCAAGTGGATGAAGGAACTTTCCTTTTTTTTTTTTTTTTTTTCTTTTTCTGGCCTCCACCCCAAATCCCACGCCTTCTTGGCAACATTCTGCTTTTCCCTCTTTTTTTTTTTTCCTGATCAAATTCCTCCAAGTCAGATCCGAAGGTTGCCCCCTCTGATCAAATATGTTAGACATAATTCCAAAAGTGAGCAAACTCAAGGATTTATGTCATTGACTTGGGTGAGGAACTCCAGCAAAGAGGAGTCAAGCTGTTTTGATGGATTTTTTTCGCTTTAATTTCGTTTGATGTATTAATTCTTAAGTAAGTGACAAAATATCCTGCCACCGTCAGTAAACGACATTATAAAAGTAAGTGTCATTGGATTGATCAAAACACTTTATGGAAAGGAAATTGTGAGGAATATATTCCGAAACATTTTAAGCTAGTATATGTAGAGTTCCTTCAGAAATTTTCGTTTTAATATTACAAGATAAAGGCAATAGATTGAACTTGATTTAAGGAGCTTTGAAAAGAGTCCTATATTCACCAAAAAATCCCACCTGCCATTATGCTTGGAATCCTGTACACGAAATTAACTTGAATGAGTTTTTTTTAAATAGAAACACCTCAGAGAGATCACCTATTGAGCTAGTATTAGTTATTAGCATATTGCAGGATTTAATGTATCTGGTTGCAGTCCAGCTTGATAGTTTAAGTATTAATTTAGAGAAGGTAAGAGTCTGGAACCTGAGATAGTGAGGGCAGGCCTGAGAAGGAGGGGCTGTAGGGAGCAGGGTGGGGAGTAAAGATGTGCTTTTTTCAGGGACCAAAGGCAAATATAACCAGACAGAGTCCTACAAAGAAAGATTATATCATTTTCTAGTTTTTCAAAAGTGCTGTATAGAGAGAACAATAAAGAGGTGCCGCATTAAAATTTGAACACAGCTGTCATTTAGAAAAGCCACTCTGATGATTCCATATGAACTTGAACACTTGAAGCTGCTTATAACTCAGAAGTACCGGATAGAGGGAGAGCTCTGTAGATTCTAGTCTCATTATTGAATTTTTATTATAACTAACTTTTAGACATACTGGTCCTAGATTGAGTAGAATATTTATATCAGGTGTAAGTGAAGTATTCATAATTCTTGCATTTCTCTACATTTTGCATCAAGAATTTTGTTCCTGAGCCAACCCTTTTGAAGTTTGCCCATATGTGTAGTGTGAAGTGGGCTTCCCCAGTGGCTCAGCAGTGAAGAATCCGCCTGCAATGCAAGAAACTTGGGTTTGATGCCTGGGTGAGGAATATCCTCCCTGGAGGAGGACCCCGCAACCCACTCCAGTATTCTTGCCTGCAGAAACCCATGGACAGAGGAGCCTGGCAGGCTACAGTCCATAGGGTCACAAAGAGTCAGACACCACAGAAGTGACTGAGGTCACGCATAATATAAAGTTTATTGTAAGTGCTAAGGTAATAATCATGTATTTTCCTATGCATATATGATTTCATGGCAAGTATAATTAGTGTATGTCCTTTTCTATTTCCTTTCAGTATTTCAGTCTTTGAAAAATAGGTCATACCATGTGAATCAGCCTATAAAGTTATTATAAGAATTGCCCATCTTGTAGATTTTTTCTTCCTACTGTTTTCTGGACAAGCAAAAAATTTTAAAAATGATTAGGAAACTTAAGTAAGTTTTAAAAAGCTTGATTGGAGATTTTATTTCTCTCATCAAATAAAGCATAGTCTTCACAGTTCCTTTGGTAAGCTCTTCAAATTGTTTCACTTCAGTTAAGAGATTTCTGCTGTTTGTCCCTAGAACATAAGGCTTCAGAGAGATTTAGAAAGTAGATGATAGCTTTTTATTTGCAGTAATCATAGAAATTTAGCTAGCATAGACCAATAGGCCTTAAAAAGTGTGAATTTTTCTGTATGTAAAGTATATCTCAATAAATCTGACTAGAAGTTACAGAACTGTGTTTTGAAAACTTATTTTTTGTTGAGAGAAGTATAAAAGTACCCACTGTGAGGAAAGTAAACATTTGAAAACCCAAACTGGAAAATATATAAATTGGAAGAGGAATAAATTTGGCTTTTAGAAGAATTCATAGTAGAATTATATTTTGTGACCCACAAATATATTTTACAATGATTCAGTTATAAAATCCTACTTATAAAATTTCAGAAATAAATCACGGGTATGACATATAACTTTTTATATATGTGTTGTGAAATATTCAATCATTCATAGTGACAATTCTGGGTGGATTTAAATGTAAATGTTTGTACAATAAATACTTAAAATGTGCACAATACTGTTATTCTCAGAGGAGATATGAAGCTGTATAAGGTGTAGATTTTAATCTCCCTAGCTCACATTCTGGGCTTCCCTGGTAGCTCAGCTGGTAAAGAATCCGCCTTCAATGTGGGACACCTCGGTTTGGTCCCTGGAGAAGTGAATGGCTACCCACTCCAGTATTCTGGCCTGGAGAGTTCCGTGGACTACAGTCCATGGGGTCGCAAAGAGTCAGACACGACTGAGTAACTTTTACTTTCACTTGGGCTTCCCTAGTGGTTCAGCTGGTAAAGAATCTGCCTGCAGTGCAGCAGACCCAGTTCGATCCCCCAGTCAGGAAGATCTCCTGGAGAAGGAAATGGTAACTCACTCCAGTATTCTTGCCTGGAGAATTCCATGGACAAAGGAGCGGGACAGGCTGCAGTCCGTGGAATCACAAGGAGTCAGACACAACTGTGCAACTAACTTTCACTTTTTTTTCAGCTCACATAGTGGATGAGCATAGAACTGTACATACACAAGGAAGTCTAATATAAAGCAGCCTGAGATACAGGGCTACGAGAGAAGTCTAGAGAGAAGAGTCCCAAAATGAAGTTCCTAAGCATGTGTGTATGTGTTGCTCACATGACTTAGTTGCTCAGTAATGTCCAGCTCTTTGCGATGGACTATAGCCCACCAGGCTCCTCTATCCATGGAATTCTCTAGGCAGGAATAGAGATCGATAGTGTAGAGATAGTGTAGAGATCCATCCCAGGTTTCCTGCACTGCAGGCGGATTCTTCACTGTCTGACCCACCAGTGAAGCCCAAAGTTCCTAAGGATTATTCTAAAACTTAGGTTTGTTCAACTTTAATTAAAGTGCAAAATAATTTTTTTTAAGTGCAGGAAAATAATAGGAATGCTCATCACATACATAAAAGAACAAAGAAAGTTGAAGGTAGAACAGAAAATATGTATGCCTGTGATTGCTAAAGCAGGAGAAAAAAAAGGGAAAAATAAAGGTAGCTTTTGAGGACTTGAGGATAATAAAGACAATTTGAAATAGTTGTTGACTTTATAAATTAGCCTTCAATGTCTCCTTCTTCCTTAGAATAAAGTCTACATCTCTCAGTCTCCCTTGCAGGCTAGTTCTTGCCACTAGGACATAAGCTTTCAAGAACTTTAAGAGACTGCTATGTTCTCTTTTTGACAGTCTTCCCCTCTTATTTCATTCTCCCACATGAAACAACGACCCAGAGACCACTATCTCAATCCATTAAGACAATGGCCACTCACTGAGGATGGCAAAACATAGAAATGGAAGATGCAAGTGGGCTTCTTAGAGCAGAACTATCATACCAAACCTTCCCGTTCTATATCTAGATTTTGTGTGAAACAAAGTTTTATTTAAGCTTCTTTTAGCTGTGATTTTTTAAAAAATTATTCTCAACCAAACCTGATCCTAAATAATATTTTTTGTGGTCAACATTATAGTATCATTACTAAGAATAAAATAAGGAATCCAATGTATTATTTATGTGTTTTTCACACTATGTGTCAGGTGCTTTGAGTTACATTTTCTCATCTGCCTCTCTCAATTTAATGTGCTCAGTTGCTCAGTGGTGTCTGACTCTTTGCGACCCCATGGACTGTAGCCCTCCAGACTCTTCTGTCCATGGGGATTCTCCAGGTATTCTTTAAATATTTTCAGAGGATAATATTCCTTAGAAATATTATCATCCTC